GGGGTTGACAACAGAACAGATTAGGCCTACTTACTGATTCACATTTCTTGTGTGGCACTCGGAGCAGGCATTTCAGGCAGTCCTCGATGTTAGCCTGAGGAAATGGTAATAAGCCCACATACAGACTGATTATAAATGGGGAAAAGATTTTATGATCAATAAATAGAATCAGTTACATACTACAGTGTCACAATGTCATATGGGACGCCAACACAGAGCATAATGTATGTCAACGTGTGTGCTGCTCTTTACTTGAGAAGTAGGTTAAGGATTTCAAGGTGCGCTTTAAAGCAAATGAGTGTTTAACGAAATAAGAATTATGTCTGCGTACGTGTGAATGTCGTCAGTTCATTGGCGTGTGTGTGTCTTTGTGTGTGCGCGCGCGTGTGTGTGTGTGTGTGTGTGTGCGTGTGTGTGTGTGTGTGTGCGTGTGTGTGTGCGCGTGTGTGTGTGTGTGCGTGTGTGTGTTTGTTTGTAAAGATAGTATGTGTCCCGGGGAACAAATAGAGAAGGGGGAAGTGGCCGGGGGGGAGCTCTTATGGCAGAGGAACGCAAAATGAACATGTTTCCTCGGATAGTAGGCAATACGCAACAAAGTGACGTTCACATTATCATTTTTGTGTGCTTTTTTGCACCCTCAGATCCTCCATACTAATTGTTTGATTTAAGCTAACGTATAAGATTACAATATACAAGGTGAAATAAGATTAATAACTGCCAACTTAGATATATAAGATTTCAGTATACCAAAAGTGAAATAAGTAAGCAATCGATTGTCAATTTAGATAATGAGATCATAATACACGACAAGAGAAATTAGAAAGAAGTAAACTGTCTACTTAGATTACATTATAAATCTCAATACCCGACAAGCGAAATAACATTTTATTGGCTGTCAATTTAAGTTAGCAAGACCTCAATATAATTATGACATGAGAAAACAGACTGCCATAAACAGTCAATTTAGGCCTGTAAGATCTCAATTTACGAAACTCCAAGATGTAATAATAAGCTAAATAAGTAGGTTATGATATACTATCCAATTACGGGAAATCTCGCTGTAGTTGACCCAATGACATAATGACTACCTTTGGCAGGTACGGCGAATCAGCACTGGCCCTGGAGAATGGCCCCGGGCTCCTTCTGTGTCTGGCCGAGTAGCGGGACCTGACGTTGTTGGTGAGGGAAGACTTTTTCCCCGCCGGGCGGCTCTGTGGGGGGAGATTATTTGGTCGCTTTTAAGCACAAAGAGGCTCTCCCGAAAAACGCTGTTTTCAGAAAATCGAAGGTAGAGTTTTTGCCCCTATTTCAGTTTCTTCAAAAGACAAGGAGAGTTTTCTCGGTAACCAAACAAATATACACAGCAGTGAAACGAAACTTCTCCTATAGGTAGAGTAACGCCCACTTTTGGTGTAAGTCAAGATCTGTGGAAGCCCCCGAAATCTGGGTTAACCCTCTTGTCCTTAAAAGCGACCATTTATTACAGAGACTCTCTTCGGGTCAGTTTCGTGTACAAAAATTCAGGTCTTTGTTTCTTTTGTCTGTTTATCTACAAGCTTCGGAACATTGCAGACGTGTTTATATATATATA